AAACAGAGACGAGAGACGAGAGAAGACGAGAGAGAAAACGGATGGATGAGGCTCCGTTAATTTGTGGTGGAGTAGATCTAAAATCTGTTGATTTAATCTGAGCCATTGATTTAAAATATTAATACATCCAAGGGCTTAGATTTAATATGTCATCCAATGACATTTAGTCTTAATGTCAGCTGAACCCTGGCGTTGAAAATAATACTCATTTCAGTCTCTTGACTAACGGCGCTTAAAATAATATTAAACTTTATACTACTTTCTTAAAATGGTACCCCGGAATACTTTTTAATTTTCTAAAATTAGTTCATTTTTGAAATAAAAATACATTAATTACAGAAAAATATTTTAAATTCTATAAGATGACAATATAATACTTAAAACTATAAATATAATTTTATAAATTTAAAAGTAAATGTTTTCGATTATTTATAATTATCTAGAAAAATAGCATGTAAAATAAAATATTTAATAATCATTAAAATAATCACCCTAAATTTGAGTAAAACATAAAAGAAATACTAAAATGGAAGCTCTTTTTCTATGTTTTACTCTTATTTAGGGCGTTTTTTCAAAGTTTATTAAATATTTTGTTTACATGATATTCTTCTAAATAATTGTAAATAATTTAAAACGTTACTTTCAAATTTATAAAGTTATATTTATAGCTTTTAGTTTATATTGTCATCCTATAAAGTTTAAAATATTTTTTCATAATTAACGTACTTTTATTTTGAAAATGGATCAATTTGAAAAAACACCAATTAGAAAGTACCATTTCGGTAAGTAGTATAAGACTTGACGTCATTTTAATAGTCGTTAGTCTGATGGACTGAACTGAACATTGTTTAAAAATATTTGAAAAAAACATAAAAATTCATTTTATTTTGCGTAATGTGACAAACATTTTTGAATATAAAGAGTATGTATTTACAAACATCACACACATGAATAATGTTTATATTGACATAAAACATGAAATCAAAATTGAAAGCTGTTTTGTTTTATGTATACTACTCCCTCCGTCCCAGAGTATTTGTCCACTTTCATTTTTCACATCATTCAATACACACTTTAATCCATTTTATCTTGTAATTTGTATATTAAAAAATTATGGAAATTATATATTAATAATCTATATGTTAAGACAAATCAAACAAGATCACACATGACTATATTTAGACTTACACATTGAGAGAATTTGATGAGTCAAAGTGCTTAGATGAACAGTTCCAAAAGTCAAAAGTGGACGAATATAGCGGGACGGATGGAGTATTTAGGAAGAACTCCCCGGATATGAGTAAAAAAATATAAAAATATCATAATAGTAATAATACGCAGTAAATCTTTTAAGACTAAAGTAAAAATTCACACATCCATTATTACAGTGCCAGACTCACCACATAATCACATTATAACTGCTACTCCGTATATTATTACCGCCACACTGTCATCCATCACCGCCAGCCACCAGAGTGCTGACGCAGATAGCTGACAATTGACTGACCACATTAATATATTACATTGTATCACTTTTCTATTTCACTGTCAACACATGCTTTTACACCACACTGTAAATATATTTCTATTCCGGTTTTAAAAGATTCAAGACTAATATTTTAATATTTTCATACTTTTTTTATTCTTACCTAGAATGTTTTTTTACTACCCGGAGTATTTAAGTTGTATGAATACTATTTACCATTTAGAAGGGGGTGGGGGGTGTGTTCGGGTCGGGGCCGGGGTGAGGGTTTTACCGGGGGGTTAGGAGGTAGGAACCGTCAATTTTACGAACGGGGCACCGGAGCGGCCTCGGGTCATCCTATGACAGTAAGATTCAATGTCATTTGAACCTTCCCCATTTTAATAAAAGAAATAATATACGTATTCTTCTAAACTTTCTAAACTTTGTGAAGGCCTCCTCCGCGAACGGAGGGGAACTCGCCGAGCGCGACACCGCGAACCGAACGGGACAACTGAACAATTGAGTATTTATCTGATTTTCTTTTGCTTTGATTTATAGTCCCACTTCGGCAATTCCCATTCCAGTTGCAATGAATCTGATCAGATATGACTTTGAGGCTTCGCCATAGGTAGTCGGCGGCATGGGTCGGCATTACCGGTTTTTTCTTTGAATAAAAATTCGCCCCATGGTAAGTAATGATAACTCCTAAAAGTTTCCTATCTCACTTTTCCACTTGAATTTATATGCTTTAGGGTTTGATATGGCGGATTTGATTAGATTGGACTCACGATTTTAGGATATGAACTTAGTTTCATAGTATGAACTTAGTTTATAGCTTATTATTATTGTTGTGGTTGTTGTTAAGCTAGGCATAATGGATGGAAGTTATTTAGTAGTGCAAGTGGGACATGTGGTTAGTTTCATACTTGAATGCTACAGTTGCTACTCCTATATATTTGTATTATGTACTCAAGAAATTAAGGAATGAATGAAGTATTTGCCTCTCTCTAAATATTCTCTCTAGTCTTTCTCTCTTTTCTTGGCCAATTGATTAAAACCTAACTGGAATCGTAACACTTATGCACGCGTGCATTCTGTGGTTTGGGTCTAGTTGCTAGTGTTGATATGTGTTCTTCTTGTCTCCACGCTCTTAATTTATTCACGTTATTGTGTGTATTTTGTTTGTCCATCTGTATTTGAGCCTGGAATCTTGAAAACCGTTTCTCTAGTTTGAACTTTGAAGTAGGGGTAATGTTTACATACGCATGCCCTCTCCATATTCTATTTTTTGTATGATTTTACTAGGTTTTGGTGTTGTTGTTCTTGTTGTAGGTTTTGATATGGTTGTGCGTTGTTGTTTGCATGAGCAATTCATTTCTTTTGTAGCATCTTTGTGCATTAGGATTTGTATTTGTGTGTGTGTGTGTGTGTGTGTTTTCCCTTCTTTTTTTTCTTTATATTTTATGTATTCTTTTAGTAATTACAATGTGTCAATGTGTTTGTTGGTTGTTTTACATGTAGTTCTATCACAAAATGGAGTGTTGATATGCCATTGGCTGTCAATAGTTTCACATGACTAATAGTGTTGATGTTGTGGTATCTTGAACATTCCGTATAGAGAACTTATCTTGCCCAACAACAGAATTATTGGTAGGTTTGTGGCTCATACTTCATATATTTCCTTAGTGTTTCAGTCAATGTGCTTGCGTGTTACTTTGTTGTAAGCATCTATTTGATGTCGATTCACCTCTTCCAATTTTAGAAACTAACTTTTGTTGGATGTATTTTTTTGCACATGGTTGATTTTTCTTGATTTTCTGTAGATAATGAAGACCAACCTGCATGTAACATTAGGCCTAGGAATGCGTGTGTGCCTTTAATAGAAACAACCTCTCTGTTTTTACACGAGTATGACTGCCTACATTTTGATCCACAGACCCCAACCGAGGTGTGGTCGTGTGGGATCATACTAGGTTGCTGTTGTCGTTGTGAGTGGAGCTAAAGCAACATAGAATAGAGAAAAATAGATTGAGCTGAAAAAATTTGTTATGATTTAATTGTTTAGTAGAGGAGTACATGTGATGCTAGACATAGAGCTCTTTATACTTCTAAAACATCAATGTGCTTGAAATGCCCCATCACCTCAAGTAGCTTTCATATGAGTTCTTCTCATGAGCTCCTTTGATCTTAGTGATACAATTTCACAAGTAGCTCAATGTGTTTGCCTTCTTTAGAGGTTGTTGGGGCACCTTTCCCACACAAACACACAACACTCCTTTCATTTTACAAGAAAGAGAAACAAGGTCACATGGGTGTGGATATATGCAAATGAATCACTAACTAATTATATAACTTTCTACTCCCTCTCTCCCATAAAATATTTCTTCTTTCCCTTTCCGTCCGTCCCGAAAAACACTCTCTCTTTCAATTAAAATCACTTGTTTACCCCTATTAATTGTTAACCTACATGCCACATCATACCTATTCAGTAATAATCTACTTCATCACATCTTATTCTACTATATCATCAACCAAGGGTAAAATAGGAAAGTAACACTCAAATTACATTTACCTTAATTACTAAGTTTATCAAGTGTGGAAAGAATTTTTGGGATGGAGGCCAGCAGGGAGTATGTTTTAGTTTAGTTTAAAGCAATCTTTGCAACTCTTGTCGCATACTCCCCGCGTCTTGGACGCACTGTCCGTATTTAATATTCACATTTGCTTTTTGCATGAAGTTTAAGCGATGCGAAATCATGTAGTTAGAGTAGGGGTAAGGTTTGCATACAGTCCCGTATGCACACCCTTCCCAGTTAATCTTTGGGATTTAAGTGGGTTTGCAGTTAAATTAAGTAGTTGGAATTTATGCAGAGGAGAATTATGGATGTCCTACAAAACAAAGAGCGACGATAAAAAGGGGTGGAGCGAGTATATTGTTGATAACCACATCACAGGAAAAGGATTAAAGTACAATTCCTCAGAGAAATCATGGCCGCCACAGAAGCAGGAATATTGACGCGCAAAGGATTAGAGGATATGTTTGTGCCAATATTGAGAAACTGCAAGAACATGGCTACCATGAAGAAAATACACTCCCAAGTGGTGAAATTCTCACTGACACAGAGCAACTTCTTGGTGGCAAAAATGATAGACTTTTGCAATAAAATTGGAGATATAGAATATGCTCGTTTGCTATTCAAACAAGTTGAAGAGCCAAACACGTTTTTGTTCAATTCTATGATCCGAGCCTACACGTATAAGAAGATGTATGTGTCCTGCATACATGCTTACACCCAGGTGCTGATGAGGAGACAAACAACCAAAAGTGAGGAGTCTATTTTTCCAGATGCATATACATACCCATTTGTTATTAGGTCATGTGGTGGTTTTACTCACGCTCATACTGGCAAACAATTGCATGGACATGTTTTTGAACTTGGACTGGAGTCCAATCACGTGATTCAAAATTCATTGCTAGACATGTACGTTAAGTGTGGCGGTGAATACAACATAAATGATGCACAGAAGCTGTTTGATGAAATGACCGTGAGAGATGTGATTTCTTGGAACAGTCTCATTTCTGGGTACATAAAGTTGGGCAAAGTCAAGAGGGCAAAAGCGTTGTTTGAAGAGATGCCTGAGAAGAGCATTGTTTCTTGGACGGCCATGATTTCAGGTTACACTAAGACTGGACGGTACGGAGATGCATTAGACGTTTTCAGAAGAATGCAGATGGTTGGCGGGCTGGAGCCAGATTGGGTCAGCTTAGTTGCGGTCTTGCCGAGCTGTGCATACCTGGGAGCACTGGAGGTTGGAGAATGGATTCACTTTTATGCAGCAAAAAAAGGTTTCTTGAAGAATACATGTGTGTGCAATGCATTGATGGAAATGTACGCCAAGTGCGGGAACGTGGACAGAGCCCTGGAGGTGTTTGACCGGATGAAGTCATCAAGCCGGGATGTAATCTCATGGAGCACGATGATTGTGGGGCTGGCAAATCATGGCAGGGCACACGAGGCCATTGAGCTGTTCAAACAAATGGATGTTACGCCAAACGAGATCACATTCGTTGGGCTCTTATCAGCCTGTGGGCATGCTGGGCTTGTGGACGAGGGATTGAGGTATTTTGATTCGATGAGAGACGATCACAACATCACACCAGAAATCCAACATTATGGCTGTTTGGTCGATCTACTTGCACGAACGGGGAACCAAAAACGCGCTCTTGAAATCATAAACCGGATGCCGATGAAAGCGGACTCTGCAATATGGGGTTCCGTGTTGAGTTCTTGCAGAAGTGCTCGGGATGTCGAGACAGCAGTGGTTGCGGCGGAACATCTGGTGGAGCTTGAACCGGATGATAGTGGGAACTACGTTCTTCTGGCAAATGTATATGCGGATATGGGGAAGTGGGATTGTGTCTCCACCACGAGGAGATTGATGAGGAGGAAGACGATGAAGAAAACACCAGGGTGCAGTCTCATTGAGGTGAATGGTTTGGTTCAGGAATTTGTTTCTGGTGATGATTCTAAGCCGTTTGTGAAGGATATATATCATGTTCTCCATCAGCTTTTGATCTTACATGGAGATGACGATGATGATGGAGTTTATGCTTTTCTTTGATACGGTATGTACAAATGATTACTCACTTTATGGTTCCCTTAATTGTATAAAATGTTCAGGACTGATCAATTACAAAGAATCTTAACAATATCCAAACTAAAACGGCCAAGTAGCTCCCAGGTTTTCGTTGTTTGGAAAATAGGCACCAATACCCAGTTTTCAAAACTTATTTTTAAAATCTCTATGGTTTCAAAATGTTGCACGGGCACTCCTCAATCTATTTTCCGTTCACTTTTCCAGCTAGGAGGGGGGCATTGGTGCTTAATTTCCAAACTACATGGAGAATGACTTATGAGAGTCACTATCATGTTTTTCATTCATTTTTTGAAGGGATTTACTTTTTAAATTCATTTTCTCAAAAAAATTCTTTATAGTCTTTTAAAATTTCAAAATTGTTTGTGTTTATAACAAAAAATACTCCCTCTCTCCTTAAACTTTTTTCCAGTTACTATTTTCGTTACTCATTTGATAAAATAATATAATTGTGTCACCTCTTGTTTTGTAGAGCTTTAGAGGTAGTTTTTAAATATATAATTTCTATCTTTTAATTTTACACCTCCAATCATATAAATTGAATTGAAAATAACTTCACTCAAACCTCGTAAACCGAAACGAGAAGAATTTTCTAGGACGGAGGGAGTAACTGCAATAAAAATAAATTTTCATATACTTTATTTGTTTCATGTTTAAAAAATCATTTTTTGTTTTCCAAAATAAAAACAAAAAAAGGAAATAAAATAAAAGAGAAACAAATGGGAAAAGGAAATGAAAAATGAAAAAGATACAAAACACTCTAATTGAAAAGGTAAAACGTAGGAGCGGATAAGGTTTTTTTGAGGACGTTTAAAAAATTTATACATTTTTTAGATAAACATTCTTTCAGAAAGACTGCTACCAAATTCAAAAAAAAATTAAAAAATCTTTTTATTTTTAAAAATAAAAAGAATAGTCTCTTTGCAACACCTAAAGAAATTAGCTTTTTTTGGACATCTTGAAAAGAACCTTATCAGTGCACTACATGTCTACATTTTCTTTTTTCTATAAAAGTGTTTTTGTATCTTTTTGTTTTTCATTTCATTTTTCTATTTGGTTTTTCTTTTATTTTCATTTCATTTCCTATTCCTCATTTTTATTTTTAAACGTCTAAAAAAAGTTTTTCTTTTTATTTTAGGAAACAAAAAAAATGAAAATGTTTTAGTCAATATCAACCAAGTATATGTTAATTTTTTCATCTCATTTATTCCATATATTTTATTTCAAGCACAAACGTTTTTTATTTTTGAAAACATTATAAAGAATAATTTTTAAAAAAATTAAAATGAATGGAAAATAAGATATAGGTGTCTGTGGTTTGAAAATCAGGCATCAATGCCCCTCTTCGCCGGAAAAATGAACGGAAAGTAGTCAAAGGGGTTGTTTGTGCAACGTTTTGTAACCTTCGGGATTTTAAGAACAAGATTTGAGGGGGGGGGGATTTGTGCATATTTTGTGCTGTTTGATGTAGCATAAATTTTTAATTCAATATGTTTTTTTTGCACTCCATTTAATTCATATCTTATTTTGCTTTACTTTAAATGAGGTTTCTTTTGAAAGGGTACTTTTTAAACACCACAAACTCTATAACTCGTATCAATGGTATCATTAATTGGTTAAAGTTTGCATTTAATGACATGGTAAATCTTATGTCAAAATGCAATCACTCTGTTTCAAATATATTCTCTTGAAGTCATATCAAGGATTTATTTTTTGTCAATAATTTCTTTGTCACTATTTCTGTACACAATCTTCATGGCTCTATGACTCTATTTACAATTTTATATACTTATGTCCAACGATTTGTTGATTTCAACTAGTCATAGGTTTTTTCCTTGTACTTCCTTTGAACAGATGAATGAATTTGGATTGATTGCTTTGGAAGAGAAGAATACATCATCTTGGGAGAGTTCTGGCCCACCTATCATCAAAGCAAGATATTTTAAGGCAGCATTTTCTAAGATATCTCCCTCCATTTTGGAGAAGGTAATTTGTAGTGCTAGAGTGGCCATCGTCTTCTTTTATTGGCAGGTACTAACTTTCAACCATGTCTTTCACTTTCGTGTGGAGCAGCCCATATGGAAATATGAAAAGCATGTGAAGGGATTTATGAAAAGCATGTGAATGGAAATATGAAAAGCATGTGAATGGAAATATGAAAAGCATGGAAAACTTAGGGATTTATAAGTTGGAATCACTTTTGGATACCCTTCAAAGGCCCTTAGTCGAAGATAGAAGAAAGTCACTTTGAGTTATGGTTGCTCCATGTTCTGTTATTGTTAGTCTGTATGCATCTAAGGTGTGTGTCTTTCTTTCTGTTGGTGAATCTGTAAGCTTGTCACTATATTTTTTATAATTAGACTATGCAGATTGACCAGCTCCAAGGTTTTTGATAGTCTCAAGCTTTTCAAGGAATTCAAGCTCAATGAAGATCTTAACACTATGTTTGGTTCAAGGATTTTGAAAGGGAAAAGAAAAGAAAATGAAGTGGAAAACCATTTTTCTTGTTTGGTTAGAGGAGAAAAGAAAGGAAAAGTGGAAGGAAAAGAAAATGAGGAGGCAAAATGTAGGGAAAACCAAATTCCTTCCATTTTGGTGAGGAAAATGAGAGAAAACCATTTTCTTTTCTTTTCCTTCCAAAATCCTTGAGCCAAACATAGTGTAAGAGAACAAACGGTCAAGAATAACAAATTTGAGGGTATTCTCCAACTTTTAAATGCTTATGATGCCGGAGAATATGATTCACATCAGTGCACATTAATTTATCATTATCACATTAATGAATTTTAGAATCATGAAAAAGATCCATATCGTTGCTGCCCCAAAACTGCTAGGCCATCCATCTGCATCCAAGATACAAGAAATTTCTATTAAAATTCAAGCAACTACATCCCACATTTAATATCAAGCCAGCATTGTAACTTACGATCAATTTCAATGATTTGTCTTCAGCCAAAATTAATGTGCAAAGACGTAAATCAGATTCTCCCGCATCATAAGCATCTACAAGTTGGAAAATACCCTAAGTTTCTTATTCTTGACCCATCTGTTTTCTTTAGATCTTCATTGAGCTGGATGCTGTCAAAAACCTTGGAGCTGACCAGTATGTATGATAAGAAAACATTTTTATTATGAGATATGTAGTGACGGATTTGCAAATTCATGAATGGAAAGACACATAGCTTAGAGTCTTAGACGGAATAGACACATACCAAGTTTATAACGTGGCCATATTGTGAAAATATGAAGACTACTTATGCTCTTAGTATTGCAAAAGGCAGCTTTGAAATTTTTATATTTTATCAGTTGCTTATATTTTGTACTCGTACGAGGTATGCCATAAACCTGAAAAATATTAGGAAAGACTTGGCTGCATTTCTTTTAGGTCTGAGATGTTCTTTTGTAAAACTTGTTACTAATCCATGAAAATTGTTGTAGTTCTAACAGGAAAAGAGTCCATGAGCTCGGCCAATCCATAGAGCAAGCTGTTGGCAGAACATGCAAAGGCACACAAAATTGTTGTCAACACAACAACAATGACATCCTACGTAGATGGGAACAAGATGGTATTAAAAAAAAGAGATCCTACGTAGATTCTTTAACATGATGCTTGAATTGCTTGAAAATTTGTTGTTTTACTCGTATAAATTTGATATTTGTTTTACGCACTGTGTTTTACAGATATGGTGTCCTTCCGCACGGTGGGTTTGGTGCAATATTGAAGCCAGTTTTGATGCTCTTTTGTGGGTTTAGAAACATTCACAAAGTTTTCTTTTTTCTCCGAGAAATTTTGCAAAATATTCTAGTTTTGACTAATGTTTATTTTGCATTCATTTTTCCTCTCAACTAGGCTTGCTGGTTTTTCCTATGCTAATTTGAAATCCCTCCAATGCTATGCCTATATGAGTTGGGAGTTTGAGATTTGACTCCAAGTAGAGGAAGGTACAAATGCTATCCAATAGCTGCTTAGAAGAATTTTATGAGTATATATATGTAGTTTTTTTTGTGTTTTCTTTTGTTTTTTTCTTTTCGTGCAAACAAAATATAAACACGGGCTTGAGTGGATATACATTTGGATGTAACATGATCGTTAGACATCAAAATTATAAAAATGATCATTTTTAAAGTAAAATGAGCATAACACTTAGGGATGTATGCAAACCAAATATTTTTCATTCGGTTCGGCATTCGTATTCGAAAAGGATAATTTGTATTCCACTTAATCAAATACGTATTCGAATTGTGTTTTATTATTTGAATATGAATACAAATATGGTTGTATCCAATTCATATAAGATTCATGTTATTCGTATATGCTTATGTAATTTGCGGAGTATTTGTACTTGTAATTCTTAGTGAACCTTTACACTATGTTTGGTTCAAAGAATTTGGAAGGAAAATAAAAGAAAATGGTTTTCCCTCACTTTCCTCTCTAAAATGGAAGGAATTTGGTTTTCCCTCTTAGAACATTTTGCCTTCTTATTTTTTTTTCTTCAACTTTTCTTTTCTTTTTTCTTTAACCAAACAAAAAAAATGTTTTCCTTCTCATTTTCTTTTCCTTTCCCTTTCAAATTTCTTGAACCAAACATATTGTTAAAGAATAAATGGTCTATAGATATTTTCAATACCCCATACTTTTTTAATAACCTGGTAAGATTGGTATTGAATTCGATAATTTTATTTAATTCTTAAGGTACACCATTACTTATGTTTACAAAAATTGAAGAAAAAAATTAAATATGGAGTACTAGTATATATTTATTTGAATACGAATATTTCTAAAATTTATGATTCCTACGCTCTAACTCCCCCCACTCCAAACCCTCTTCTAGCATCACTCTAATCCCCTCTGCCCCCTCTCTTCCACGACAATTTGCTACAAATATATCCTGTAGCAAATCGGCGTGAGAGAGAGGGTGGCTGAGATGAGGGTTAAGGAAGTAAAAATTCTTAATTTTGTAAATAACGTATCGTATTTCAATTAGAACTGGTATCAGATGGTTTCATTGTCACACTATCACCTAAAAATATCCCATTAAATTGAATGGAGGGAGTAACTACAAAGAATCTCATTCTCAATACAAAAGGCTAACTAACTTTTCATTAAAATACTTTCTTAAACATCTCAATCTAATAAATTACTATACATATTTAATCTCTATACAACCAATAAAAAGTTACCACTATAACCCATGCTACACACCAAATAAGTAAATAGTGGAGTGAATATAAGTATAATAGCATATTTAGTGCTTTACATGAGGTGTACTTTACTAAAATTAACAAGTTATACATTCGTCAAAGTGGATTATTTTTCTGGGACAGAGGGAGTAATAATACTTACACAACAAGGTCAGTTTCCCATAAAAGTTGGACCTCTAAACTGAGATCCTGGTTGCACAAATCCTCCTACTTCTCTCTCTTTCAGATACTGCAGCACCAATGCAGGCTCCTCTGGTCTTTGCCATCCAAACAGGACCTTATCGTCTCTTCCGGTATCGCCCCTCCCCGCCGGGACAATTGGGCTGTCCAAATACAGTAACGTTCCCGGCGTCGAAATCAAAGGGTACCCCCACTGGCACAAAGGGTCGCCATCTAACCTCCTAATGTTCGCCACGTGTGGGGCCCACACGGCGCGGTCGCACTCCTGCCTGTTCCTATAATGATACAGCCACTCAGAAGAGCTCATCATCCCTGCTTGTGGCGGCGAATACCCTCCTGCGTACTCAAATGGGCCCCGGGTTGCGTATGTGTATCCTCTCATTGGTGGGGCCCCAAGAATACCATCCCCTCCTTGTTCCGGCAACAATGGGGCAGAAGGTGGTGGACTTACATAAGGAGGAGGAGGGGCATCGAGAACATCAACAGAGACGCGTGGAGAAGAAGAAGATGAAGAATCAACTTTGGGGTATCCCAGTTCGTCGAGTGAAAGGACGTTGATGGCCTCTGGGCTGAAATGGGGATGTGGGCTTTCTCCACCTACGACCCATCCCTTGAGTGACGGGGGCCCACTGTTGGGCACCCGCTGCCTCAAGGGATTGTCCAAATAGAAGTTACTCGTGTCGGGGTTTTCCGGGTAGAAACTGAAAGTTTCACTCTCTCTTTCATGTTGATCCACTACAGGAGAGGATTTTTCCCCTTTCTTCGTGTTGTTCCCTCTTCCAATGGGTGGCTCGAATAGAATAACTTCCTCCTCCTCCTCCTCCTCCTCCTCCTCCTCCTCTGTTGTGTTAGAAACATGATGGTTTTCACTTTGGGTGCCGGGGCGAAATCTTTTTTGTAACTTATCATACACAATCCAATGACTCAAGTCACCTTGTGTGCCTGCAATTTTAGTTGCAGCAAGAAATATGCGTCGAGACCTCAATTTACCATCCCCCGCGTGCCCCATTTTACCCCTGAAATCTAAGCCCGCGTGCGCGTGGGCCATTGGGTCAAACCCCAACAGCTCGTGGTCCTCCCAAAGAGCAGTGTTGTCTGAGGCAAGTTCTTCTGCACCAAGATTGAGTCGGTTAAGAAGATCAACAAAGGTGTCAAAAAAGTATGCCATGGCACTCATGACGCTTTCGTCCCTTGTGAGACCTTCGGCTCTCCCAAGTGTGTTCACTAGCCATTCGACAAACACCAGCACGGCGGGTAGGAGAGGGCAGCATTCCTCGACAACACCCCTGGTCAAACACCGGTCAACAATGCGCCCGACACAAATGAAAATGGAAGACAGTGCTAGTTCAGTCAAATGACACCCCGAGTTGCCATCTTCTTTCTGTTTGTGTCCTTTTTGGCTTTTGGTAAGGCAATGGATGGTAAAGATGAGAATGGTGACAAGTTGTAAGGCGCGGTTTGGGCCCTTTTCGGATGGATCCAAAGACTGGTAGGATTCAAGTGTGCCCTTCAGTTCTTCTTCGCCTAACGCCATCAAAGCTTCTAATCGTCTCACCACAGAAGCAAGGGTGTGAGGAAAATCCTCTAATAAACTGCAATACACAAAAAGGATTTTAGGAAAATCCTCTAAAGTGCAAAACACAAAGTTCCTCCTTTAGGATGGGATCCTAAGTTTAAACAGAAGAACATACCTGGATTTCATTAGAAAGAAACTTATCAGCCTGACAAACAAGGGCCATATATCAGACATTTCATCCAATTTATTGTCACTTGAAGAGGCATTACTTTCACATGATGTAGCATCCAAGAATGTTTTTTCACATGGTTTTAGTAAATCGAGGCGTGCCTCCCTCGAAAGGGAATGGATGTGAATTGACCTGTTCTGCAATGTCGAAAACATATAGTGGAATTCATTGATGATTGCTCTGATTTACAATGGTAAAAAACACACTAAAAGATTGGATCTAAACAATTAACTACTACCTAACTTACCTCCTCGAAGAGCAGCATAAGGTTGTTCCAGGCATCAGGAAACGGTTCCTTCACGGCCAAACTCCTGACAGAGTGATACAACGCAAGGAAAGGATCATCAATGTATGTTGCCAATAGCGCGAGCTGCAAACGAATTTACATTTCTTTTATCAATATCCCTAAAATGGTATGACCAAATCCGACTGAAACTAACAAAAAATGTCCGGAAACCAGCTTTAGCTATTTGGTTTGATTTTTGGTTTTGCATTTTTTTTCAAAAGTTGAAAAAATACTATGCCATGGCACCTACCTGATTATGGGGGTTTCCACTATCCGGCCACACCCACGATGCTTCGAGATAATATGCTGCTGAAACTGACCAATCACGAGCTTCGTGACCTTTCTTGCAAAGCTCATTGTATCTAGCTAGATCACCAAGACAAACCAAAAACCTATGGCATGCATATTGACAATGAGGGAACTTCACAAGTTCTGTCCAAGAAGATGATTTTCCCCTCTTCTTATGCAACAAGAGCTCCTCAGGAAGCCCACATTTTTTTCTAAGTCTTCTTACTAAATCCATGTAAAAAAGAGTAGCTTCGTATAGAAATGACTTGAACCCATCCATATAAACATAGCCGGTATCCTCCCCAGAAGCTCCACTTTTTCTTCTGTCTGTATTGTATCGGCGTATTTGTTTACGGTACTCATCAATGTGCTTATAATGAAGCTTCCATAATGAATACTCCACTTCTTGAAGCCCCTCCCTTTCATGATCATTCAAAATGATGTTCTCGTAGCTAGAACGGGCTTTTTGGTAAAGCTCTTTTACATCTTTATGCAAAAGACCCTTGGAATAGATTGATGCTAACAATTGTTTCTCGGTACTAGCAATCTGAACAAGGAAAATGAGGAAAAACGAAAGAAATTTAGTGTCCCTTTGGTAAGAGTTATCTGGGTGAACTTTCTGGAAGGAAAAGTGTTTGGAAACATCGATGTGAGCCGTGGAAGTAAAGTCGCAAGCTTATTGTTCTTATAGTGCCAGCAAAGGCTACCAAACGAAGCCTTAACAAGATACTTAGTACACTACCATTTACCTCGAGGAATGCACTGAGTTTTTCCTTTTGACCTTTGAAAGCCATAGCCTCTTTGGCGTTCATGATTGCCATACAAATGCTTCTTGACCCGTAGCCAAAATTGTTTTTTTCCTTGGTCTATTACTCCAAGAAATACAAGCCATGCATCTCTGTAAGATCATTAGAACCACAAGATTTAGTGATCAAGAGTGAACTATTCGGAATTTGACAAAACCATGATTCAAATTGGGGTTCTCCTACTTTTATCCTAAATCTCCGCACGTTCCTATATAAGGTTGTATCCTCAGCGAAATCTGGAACTAGGAAACCCTGTCTAATCACCTGCAGGTTTAATGATATGCCAAGAAAATGAAAGGGCAGAAAAAAAAACTCAAAACACAAAGATTCCATAATTAATTTCCAATATTAAAATTAAATTTCAGAAACCCACACAATATATTTCCCATTTATGGTTACTTGATCAGCAGAATATCTAATAATATGAAGGAAAGTTTAGAAACCAAAAAGGTGACCTACACAATATTCTGGCTACTGCTTCATAGAATTCACGCTTTGGAGACAGAATAAACAAGTTGAAGAACACAGCTTGAAATTCACGCAGAATCGAGAAGAATTTAACGTTGTTGGGGGGAAACATTGGCTATCACAGAGGATTTGGACACTGATCACAAAACAACCTCAGCACAACAATTGGGACAAAAAGATTGTGTGGAAACATAAAATTCAACAGAGAGCATGAAAAAGTGAAGAAATACCTGTGGGGTAGGGTGGGTAGGAAGAGACTTAAAGAAACAGCTTATCTTCAAACTTATGAGCTAATGATTACTCTTCAGATTGAACAGGTTTTGAAACTGTCACTGTTTTTAAGTTGTGGAAAATGGGAAAAGAAAAGGATGGACACATACTCTCTCTTCTTTTCTTTGTTTTTTTTAAAACATGGACACATAATCTTAGGTCTTCTGAGAAATTCTTAAGAGAAGTGATAAATTAAAGTGATAAATAAACCTCTACTATCAACTTTTTTTTTGTAATATCAACTTATTAATAGAGAGTGATATTCCTGTTTGATATGTACAAGAAATCATCTTAAATATGATTAAAACATAAAAAAGTATTAAAATAAGAGTTTTATATTTTTATTTTTTATTAAAACATATTCATATGTGCATTTTACGATACTTTTTGATAATGTATATATAGTCATGATTGGTGATGTAAATGCATTTTAATTCTTATTTTGAGAATAAAAAACTTTTATTTTAATATATTTTAATGTTTTACCTTTACTTTAATCTTTTTCCATGTATAAAAATCTTATGTTAAACTGGTTAAAATAAACTTCTCAAAGTCGAATTTAGCCACAATAATATCTTGTTATGTACAAATGTCTTTTGATGTTCTCCATGTCTAAGTTAGACTTTTGATTTTCTCCTTTGTAAGCCTATATATAGAGGCTCCATATGTTGAAATGGGACATCCATATCTTTAGTCTCTCATTGCATTCTTTCTCTTTCACTCTCCATTGCACTTTGATCTTCCATTTGTGTTCTTATCAAGGTATATCTCTATCATCTTGTTCTTGATAATATTTCTATTATCTTTATTCTTAACACGTTATCAGCACGATACTCTAAAAATTTACTCCTCCTCATATCTTGTCCTTGTTCATATTCATGTTATTGATATATACATATACATATACATATACATATACATATACACTTATTTATTTTAGTTTTTTTAGTGCACTTGTAGATATATTGAATCTAAAGCTCCTAAATATATTAGAGAATTGGCATGTGAAGCCTACATTATGTGTTAAAGTTGAAGGTTATATGATAAAACTCAACTTGAAGTTCGAGTACATATTATGTCGAAAAAAAATTCCATATCTTTGGTTTTTTTCTCTTTTGGCTAGTGAACTTGAAGTTCATATTCTGATTTCATATGCTCGAAGCATTAATATGAAAACTCAAACCTGAAGATTTGAGTATGCCACATGAATATATAGGTGACATTATTATTTACTATGCAACAAAGAAATAATAATAATAATAATGTTAATATTATAGACTTATTATTTGTGATTATGTAATGTGCTCTACTTTATCATTATGTACGTCCATAGTTTTGCTCTAATTGTAACCTCCGTTATAATAATAATAATAATAATAATGCATAATAAATAATAATAATAATTGAGACCCTTCAAGTACCTAAGCCGTTTTTTTAATAAGAAAACCCTATTATTCAATCAATACACATTAATTTATTTATTGTTCACAATAATAAAAAAAGAGTTAACATGTTCATCAAAACACAATATATGGGTATATGAGATACTACCTAAGGTCTTATAATATTCAATTACCACCTGAAGTGGCTGATTTTTAGTATAAAAAAATCTCATTAAAAAGAGACATTTTGATATTTCAAGACCTTTGTTCTAATCTATATATGATTCCTCATCGATGTTCCTGAAGAATGATGTATTTAGTATATTATAATCAAAGGAGTATATTTTTTTTAGATGTAAGAGTTTTTTTTCTCTTGTGATAAAAGAAGTTAGTGTGGATATAATTTTCTTTTTATACAAAACTGATAGATAGCTCTAGAAGAGCATTGCATAATAAGAGCTGCATAATAGAAGGAATAAAAGTCTCATAAATATTGAATATTTTGAGAGAATAGTTATTGTCCTTCATTGACGAAAATTCTATTGGGTATAAACAATTAAATCCTTATTGTTTATGATGTCTCTATTAATGTTTAAGATACCAGTGGAAATGAATATTACATGACACTTGATCGAGATTTGTTTTCACGTAAACCAGAAGTTTACTGAATCAAGTTTTATTCTAAACATAACCAATTAAATTATCACGTTTTAGTTTGTGGTGTGAAGAAAAAAATCATTAAGAACTCAAGTGAGTACTATTTGAAGAACAAGTTTCTGTTATTATAAGGACCAGAAGATCCTATAGTCTTGTTCTCATTAGAAGATTATTATGAGATTATTACTAATGAAACTTGAGATTCATTTCATACATATTAAGAAATTGTTCAAGGATAATTGATTGGGCCCATCAACTATTCGTGATCACAATTTAAATGTATTATATGATGCATCGTTATATTTATCATATTTGTTGACAATTAACTCGTAATCTGAAGTTCATGATATTTGTCCTATGGACATAATTTATAGGTTATGTTGAACACCATTAGTCACATAAGAGCCTGTAGCTCTAGTTAATATGTAAAATGCATTGAATTGGTGGCTATACTTTTGATTATGAGAACAAAGCATTTTATACTGGTTTTTGAATCTTCATTTATGTGGTAATTATTTGGAGCAGATGCTTAGTGGGCATAAATTAAAAGAAATTATCAAGGTACCACAATGGTAGGTAGACACTGAGGGAAGGTTTTTTTGAAGAAGTTGAATGGAAGATAAATTCCATGACATATGCTAAATTATATATATTCTTCAATTAAAGAAGATGTGAACATGAAGTTTAAGAAAGACGATTGTACTACGATATTGCAAATAAAGTGCTCATTATGAATTTTATGTATCAATTGTAAACACTTTGGTTAGAAGTGAATTCTAGATATTTTCTCAACCATAAAAAAATGGTCTTATTATAAGGAACTTGTAGTTCCAACATATAAGAACCTGAAGTTCTCCTTCGCATGTATTTTATATACACATGTTCATTTTTATTAATCCTTCCCTATAAATAAAATGTCAAATCTTCAATTTTTTGAGTTTCATACACTTGATATCTTCTGAAGAGAAACAAGTTTGTCCCTTCTCACAATATTTGATTGTTTGATTGTGTGCCTTATATGCTCTCTCCCCCACAATGCATTCAATATAATGTTTAGAGTTTTTGACAGGAGATTTATTAACATTAAAGTAAGTTGGTTGTCAAGAATAATGAAATACTAGTATACAAGAAATTATATGAAATGCATCATTGTAAATTTTTGATTCTTGAAGTGGTCAATGTAATTTTGAAGTCTGATTTGCAAAGAAGAGCAAATGAATTACTTGATGCATTCACATATATGAGCAGAGTGACAAAGTTACATATACCAGCATCTTATGCATCGCTCAATTTAAGGTAGTCCCAGAAGTGACTATTGAACATTTTATGTGGGAGAATAATTGGTTTCAAAGATAAGAACCCACGAGAATGAATATAGTAAAAATGCTATTAGTGAAACAATATACATGATTATCAGTGAAACCCCAGAAAAGGTAACTGTCCTAGGAGAACACTAATACTATTCCAGAAGAAATTAAAATGAAACCCAGAAGAGGTAAATGTCCTGGAAGAGACTAATATGATTCTAGAAGAATTTCAAAGGATTTCTTTGTAGCCATGGCTTTCTTTTACTCTAGAGATAATTAATACATGCTCTGACATGTTATACCTTGGTTTTACTTTGTGCACAATTACTATAATAACGTTATGCTATGGCAATGGATGTAATCAATAAAAGAGATTACATGCCTAAAACTCAAAGAAGAGTACATGTAGATAGTACATAAATGATTTTCCAAATGGCAAAAGACCCTAAAGGTCGAATATAAGTCACTCAATAAACGGAATATTTTCGGACCTGAAGTCTGAACACCCATAGACGTCAAACCAATAGGTTTAAAATGGGTGTTTGTAATAAACAGAAATAAAATGAATGAGATTGTGCGATATGAGGAAACGTAAGGCAATGGTTTTTCTCTAATCCCAGGAGTTGATTATGAGGAAACGTATTTTCCACTAGTGGATGCAATATCCTTATAGAGTTTTAATTGGCCTCGCAATCTCAAAAGGACTTCAAATAAATGATATGGATGTCGTTATAACATAATTATAAGGGACACTTGAAATCGACATCCGTGTGATAATAATCCCTGAAGGATTCAAGATGCCAGAAGCAATAAAATTAATACATCGAGATATGTGTGAAGAGATCGTGGAATGATCTTAAGTAATCTGGTTTATGTGGTACAATTGACCCAGTGAATATCTCGAAAAAGAAAGATAGAAATTTGAAATCAACCTATGTGTTGTCATTCAAGGATCGCTCTCAATATTCTTTATTATACCAGTTTACGTCGACGTATAAATGTCATTAGATCTCCTGAAGAGATAGAGAAAACAAAAAAAACTGTTGAACTCTTGAAGAGAGAATTTGAGAGGGAAGATCTTGACATGACATAAATTATACTTTGGATTGTATTTTAAACACCTATATGATGGCACATTTGTCCATAAGTTAAACTACATCCAGAAGATGTTAACACGTTGAAATATGGATAAAGCTCATCCTTTGAACATACCCATGGTTGTTCATTCATATATATATTCATAACATTCTAATCGCCTCCCAGAAGAGGGCGAAGAAGTACTTGGTCCTGCAATACCAAATTTTAAGGGTGAAATTAGATTGGTGATGTGTTCACATATGGTGATAAGACTTTTTCTTGGAAGTCGACTGAGCGAGCACGACCAGATAACTGAAGCAGCATAACTGATCCTGCAGTATCAGTTAATATAGGTCCTGAAGAACCTAGCCAACATTATCCTGTAGCATAATGTTGTTAGTCTATAATGAACGATGATATATCTGAGGGGGGGTGTTAAATATGATAGATATATTACTCTTATTATTTAGAATATCTGGTTACCTTGTTTACCTAGACTTTACCTCCTCCTTGTGTATGTATAAATACCCCGACATATGATGAATAAAGTACTCAGTTCAAAATTCTTGAAACATGCAATCAGAAAGCTCGTGAG